GATATTTTGCAATAAATGAGGCTAAACTTGTGGGAACGAAGAGTTATGGTAAATAGACCTGGTTTGCACAGGTTCTGATCTCCTGCAGTTCAGTCTGCCTTCTTTAGCTGACAGAGAGCTGTGCTCACACAGCTTACCTGGGATGTGAGCTCTGCAGGAGTGCACTGGAGGTAATGAAGCACTTAAGGGGATGAGGGACTGAAGGCCCCCATTGAATGATTAAGGTGCTGGCAGCTGTGTTACTTTGAAAGAAAAATATGTGCACTGCATAGCAAAGGCATGCTGAAATGCCTATCAGAGGCTTAGTTCTGTGTGGGGACATGCTTTGCCTTAGAGTTGTGAAATAGTGGTAGCAACTATTAGAGGGGATTTGATAAACAGAGCTGCTTGTGCAGTTACCAGCTCTATGGCCCAGCTGCCCTAGTGTAGTTCAAAAGCAGAATGCAAGTGTTTGCCAGCAGTGGCTAAAATGCATCAGTGTCACTGTCTCTAGATACATTAAGAATTTGGTTCTTCCTTCACTCCAAAAATTCCCTCTGCTGATGATTTGTTTCCTCTCTTCCACGTCCCCACATATTCTTTTGAGAAGGTGCAGTGAAGATAGATGAGCACTGTAATGTCTTCCTGGATACTGTCAGATTTGAGCCGTTTCACATCTAGGGAACTGATGTGGCCAGTCTAGTATGGAAACTTTTGTCATAACAAAACTTCATACTGATTTCTGGGAAGGGGAATAAAGGATTAACTTGGGTAGTCAGAAACAGAAGACACCAGTGTGATAGTGGTGGAGCAACTGGAGTTAGCTTTTTAATATAATGAGCAAAATTGCAAGACCTGAATGGATGCCTGACTGGGTTAATTTCATTGCTGGCATTGTGGTTTGTGCCAGCTGAGGAATTTTCTCCCAGAGCTTTGAGTACCACTGTTCCTGAATGAATGGACACTGGTAGAAGGGAAGCACAACAGTTTCCTAGCTGGTGCGTGGTGGTTTTAGGAGTTTCAAAGAAGAATTGAAAATCAAATCTCAAGCACTTGTCTTCAGTCACACGTTTCTATTTGGAGCAGAACTAATGCCCAACAGTTACTAAATGGAGCTTTATCTTGATATGCTCCAGAGTGTCATGTCATGCTTGCCTTTGCTCTTAATAATTCTTCTTCACCCATTTCTCTATGCTTCCAGAACACCCCTCTTTTAACAGTTGTCTTCTCAATGAGCTATAAGTTGTCTTGTTGAGTCCATGTGGCCATGGACATTCTGGAGCATTCCCAACTTAGACACCGTCTCAAAATATGTCTTCTGTTCTTATTTATTGCTTGAGGGAAGGACCTGGAGTAGGCAGTAAACACTAGGTCACATATGAATCAAGTGTGTGCTGTCATTGCCAACAAAGCAAGCTAGATATGGGGTTGCTTCAGGAGATGCCTGGACAGTAGACTGAAATTAGTTATTTTTCATATTTACTTTGTGCCGGAGAGGCTGTTATTCAATCCTGAGTTCTCCAGCTGAACTAGGATATGGAAGAGCTGGAGAGGGTCCAGAAGATGGGCAATCAAGAACCTTAGAACACATGGCCTACAAGAAGAGGCTGGAGGAGCTTTGCTTCCTGTATCTAATGGAGAGGAGACAAAGGAGTGATAAGTGGCAGCCTGTGACTACTGCCAGGGGTAGCTGATGACAGAGCCAAATGCTTCTCTACAGGTAGCAAAATAAAGTGCCATGGACATACATAGTGGATTGGGAGGTTCAGCTGGAGCACTGGAAAATTGTTTTCATTGGGAAATAGTGCAGCACTTAAACAAGTCACTGGATAGCAGGGGGTTCTCCATTTTGGATGTTTTCAAGGACAAAAGCACAGCAAGCCTTACCCAGTGCTGATGATAGTCCAGTCTCCTGCTAAAAGCAGGATTTGGTAATCTACAGAGATCCTCTTCTCTTTCTTGACAGTACTGAAGGCTTTTAGCTTCTTTAAGGAGGAAGCACTCTAAAGATTTATTTTTGCTTTGTTTTGCAAAAGCGAAACAAGAATACATTGGGGTGCTCATGTCTTGATGATGTCAAATCACCTGTTGTTGTGAAACTCAAGTGTTCCTGACTGTTTATAGTTAGGGGTCTGTGTACTTCCTTTTGTACAGTTTTAATACACTCAAATATCTTGCTTCCATTAGCAGTCTCTCTGCAGCATCAGTTCCCAGCCATCTGGCAGCAATATCACTCTTCTGTGTGTTAGGATATAGGTTTTATCATAGGAAAAAGGCTGTTTCCCCTGATTATTTGCAAGGTGCCATGGGCTGAGCTGCCACAAAAAGCACCAGTTGGTGCAGTGCTCAGGAAGGAGAAGAAATCATCTAGGGATTTGTCATACTTGAGACTCTGATTTCTAGGATGGCTTGGGATCTGAGGGAGAAAAAGTTAAGTAGATCAGGTTGGAGGAAAAGAATCAGGGATTAATGATTTTGATCCTAGACACAGTTCCTTCCCATTAATTGCTGGCCTTTTAGTTATCACAGTTTCAAAGTCTGGTTCATACTGCCAGCCCCTTGAGGTGTCACAAGACCATGCTCATGTCCTTGAGTGGGGCCCATGCTATGCCTGTATTCTGGGCTGCAGCTTGCTTTTCTATTCACAGAAACCCTCTCAATAGCTTGGGGTTCAGACTGCCAGTAGCAGGTATGTTTTCTTCCAGGGGTGATGGCAGCTGGCTCTTCCTGCAACCACAGGTATTTTAGAAGAGAAGTGGAATGCAGGGAACCCATTGTAAATAAACCCACCTACACCCATCCTAGCCTCACTGAGTACGACCTCAAGCTCTGCACTGTTTCCTTGTTCACTCTGTATCAGTTTCCCACTGAGCTCAGATCCCTGCTGTTTCTCCCCAGGCTGAAACATACACACACAACACTCTGCAAAGCTAATACAATTATCCATGTGTCAATATGCTGCCATGGTCCCATTTGGTCTCACTAGGGTCTTGTTGATACCTAACTGCTGAGCTGAACGTTAGTTCTGCATGGTTCCTTCTTGTTTACAGCCAGCATCAGCATCCAAACAGCCTGTTCTTGCTTTAACACCTGTACCCTTCTAATCCCTTGTTGTCTTGATTTCCTTTGTCATATGTGGAACTGTCTTGATCAGCCTGATTCCGGTATGTCTCCAGCAGCTGAGAACTCCAGTCCCTTAATCATTTTATTTGATGGGTAAGCTCTGTGTTGCTTGGCAGTGCCTTACTGAAGTAGGAAGCCAAGTACTGAGCTGTGGCACAGGCAAGACAGTGAATATAGACACAAAAGAATAAAGGCAGCTTTTTTTTTTTTTTTTTGCAGAGGGACCTTGAAAATAAATTGTGTGCAGGAAAACAGTGTTTGTGTAATGGAGCTTTAGGTCTGAGAATCCTAAAATAAGATTTCTGCATCATTCTGCCTGTTCTTTTGCTGTCCTTATTATTATATTTCCTCTCTCATTTTATACACAAAATTCTGAAACATCCTTCTCAAACTTTTCTTTGTGGTGCAACATCACCCTCAAAAACTTGTATGTCAAGTTATCAGGAGAAGAAGCTTTAAGAATTGGAAGAGCTTCGTCTGGCTCAGAGCTGCCTGCTGGCTCAGCTCTCAAGGTTCAACCGCAGACTTTGCTGTATTTGAGTAAGCATTTTGGGCTGGCCACCAGGTCTACCTGCTCTGTTGCCCTAGAGTTTGTTGTAACCACGAGTAGTTGAAGCCTTGGATTAATGTTTTATCCCATATGATCATATTTGGAGTGGCTGAGGATTGTCTCTTATCACAGAAGTCAAGAATTGGGCTGCTCTCTGGTAAAATTGTAATGTGGTCATTAGAGTTTTATTAGATTAGATAGATCCATCCATCTCCAGGAAGCCAGTATTACGTCTTTATTTCAATGCACATGGGCCAGTCAAGTTCAACTTATTGGGATTTTAAAGCCTAGTTTGTCATCCAACACCAGGATGTGATATGGCTGTAAAAAGAAGATTTTGTTTGCCAGCTTTTATGCAGCAGCAGTCAAATTCAAGTAGCCTGCATCTAATCCCAAAACTACTAATGCAATTATACTGGGAGAGAAAAGAAGTTTTATGTTTAGTTTGCCCTTCTACCTTTTCACTGTCGAAGCTGATGCAAGAGAAATAAGCTAAGAATGAAACTTAAGAAAGGGTAATTTTTTTGGTTGATACCAACGTTGTCCCAGCAGCAGAGTTTTGGTATAAGAATTAATGTGATATGGGGTTGGTATCTGGTGAACAATATTCATGGTGACATTAACCTGTGAAGCATCTTTGTAGCAGAGAGAAGATGGTTCTTTATGATCATGTCGTTAGAATCTCCACTATGGACTTCATGTTTTCCTGTTGTGCCTGAGTAATACTGTACTCAAACTGTACATTAAAAAAAAGTCCCATTCCAAACTGGTGTGGATCTGCTAGCAAAATAATGAAGTGTGGGTGCAGCCATGCCAGGGGTGGGGAGGGGACGATTTTCCAGTTATTGGTTATTTAGTTAAAAGAATGAGAACATGCTGCGTTCATTTGAGAAACATTGCAACTAGAGAATAAGGAATATAATGTTGTATTGCCAGTAGATGCCGGCATATATTGAGCGGGATATAGTTGTATTGCTGCAAACGTTTTTGAGTGCAGATAAAGTCACAGCTGGAAGTCTGGGTTTAAGAGTCATGAAATAATTGATTTTTGGAAGGGATGTCTAGAGGTCATCTGGGCCAGCCCTGTTTTCAGGGCAAACTTTGAATTTAAATCAGGTCTTCCGGAGGATCCCATGGAAATTTGAAACTGTTAAAGTCAGAGAGGGATGATACTAGATTATATGCTTTGAGTAATAATTCAGCACAAGCAGTACTCTAACTAGGTTTCTTTCTCCTTTAATTCCTGTAATTACACTGGTGATGTCCCACAGCAGGAAACTGGTGAATGCTTTTGGCCCTGTTAAACTGAAGAAATGACTTAGATTGTATTTATTTATTTTATTTTGAGGGAATTGAGCTGAAGATACAAAATTCTGCCTTATCCAGGCAACTGGAAGAAACCTTAGGGGAGAGAGAGAGTTAAACTTGCTCCAGCTGGTATCTGCTGTGGAAGACTAAAGCAAAGCATCAAGAAATGTCCATAAACAGCATAAAATGGGTGCAAGCAAAGAAACCTGGTCTGAGGGAGAGATATGCCACAAGGAGCTGGAGACCATGTGCAACAATTTTGCATATGTTCATGAAAGCAGTCACTGGAGGGTGACAACATGTTGTGTTCTTCTTCATCATGTCTCAGAGTCATGTGGCAGCTCAGTTGATCCTTGCTAGCTCTCCTCGCTCTGGTGATGATGGTCACACAGCCTCACACACAGGATTCCCAGTGCTTAGAATTGTCCCTGAAGCTTTTTGGTTCTCCTGGTTGCTGATGTGAAGTTTGAAGAGCATGAAGAGCCAGAATCAATTTGCTGGTGGGAGGGTCTGTGGGAGGAGCTTCTTTGGACTGGTTAATATTACAGGACTTAAATTTGGGGAGATGTTGTGCAGATCAGCAACGATTAAGGGAGTTCAAAAGGAATCCCAATTACCCAAATCACATAATTTCACATATGATGTAAAACTGATGAGGGTAAGTACTACCATATGGGAAAGACATCCCAGGAGAGCTTGGGCTAAGTTTGTAAATACCTATGGCACTTCTTATGTTTGGTTAAAGACCTCTAATGAGACCAGAATTTTGACATTATATCCTCTTTTGGAGGCCACAAGAAGCAGGAAAGCTTCATGGCTAAAGATCATCAGCCATAAATGGAGAAATAAATTCATTTAACTTTCAAAGGGGAACAGTGCCAAAAGAAACAAGCAGCTTTGGGAGTTTGTAAAAAGCAGATCTCTCTGGTCAGCCTCAGTTACTGCTTTTGGCTAATTAGTGGAGTGGAGATGATGCAAAGAACTACATTTTAGCAGGGCATTGGGGTTTGTGCTTTTGGGAATTTCAAGCAAAAAAAAAAAAAACAACAAATAAGCTTAGAGTACAAACATCCAGTCTTTCGTATATTGCACCTCTAGCTGAAAGGGGCAATGTGTGGTATGATTTTGCATCGTGAAGGGTGTCCCCTTGGTTCAGTGCTAGAGCTGATCTTTAAAACACAGTTGGAAGGTGAAGTAATGTCAAAAGTTTTCTCTTTTGAGTTTTCTACATGGATGGAAGAGAAGGAAGAGTGGGGAGCATGCAGTCTGCCTTTCTACATATGGCTCATGTAAGACTTTGTTATCCAGGAAAGGGGCGTCTCGATCGTGTTCCTGAATAGCATCAGAGAGAAGCCACAAAAGGGCTTCCAGTTGCATTACTGTGAGCAAACAAGGTCCTGATTCGCTGTATCTGGTCAGTCACTTGGCCTTAGCAGTGATGGTTAACTGTGCATGGGTGGTGCTAAGATAGAACATCATGGACCTACATCAAGCCAGTGGATTTAGGAAGGAGTGGGATGGAAGACAGAGCAGACTGTCTGGAAGCATAGACTGTTGTTGCTCGTTTTTTGTTGAACACTGTTGCTACCCTCTGTGAAGCATTAGCTTAATTAACTCAGGGACAAATTCTTCTGTCTTGGCAAAGTCCATCAACATCCAAGGAGTATTTGCTCCATGTTATAAATATGAAAATGAAATGAAGATTTATTTGGGTACAGTCTAATCACAGAAGAGCCAGCTTGTCTCAGAGATGAATGTACTAACAATTTCAAGAGTAGACAAATTGGTACTCTACTCTTCCATTGCTTATCTGATGTGAGGCTAAATTGGCTTGGAACCCTCCTTGTTTTACCTTTGCTTCTCAAAGGTGAATGACATCCTGTAATTAAAAGAAAAAAACAAAACACTTATTGCCACACATTTAAAAAAAAAAAAAGGAAGAAAAAAAAAAAGCAACAAAAAAAAAAAAACCCTTGTCAAGCTTTTGTTACTGCCTGGTGTTATCTTCTATCGATATTCCTGGTCTGACAGTTTTAGATAGTGCAGTCTCATCTTGGGATTCGTGGATTCCAGTTCCTCTGCTGAGGTGTATTCTTTCATGGTTAGAATTTTCTGAACTTGCAGCATTAAGATTGTCCTAATGATAGAACCAGAGCACATTGTTTTCCTTATTTATGCAGTGGGATTTCAGTCTTTGCTCTTAATGTTATTTATCATGGTTAGTCTGGTCTTATCCTCTGCCTCCAAAAGTAGGTGATGACTAATGCTTCCAAGGAAGGAAGGATAACAGAACCTCGGGCAGCCACAGCTGATTTCAGTCTTTTTTTTGGCTTTCATATTATTCATCATTTTACCTCTTCCATTTTAAGTTAGTGTTCTTGAAAAAAATGATCTTATGCTAGCTTAGCATCCACCATTTCATAAAAGGTAGCTGAAAAATTGAATAGAGTTCAGAGTAAATATACATGAATGAATTGAGAGAACTCTGCTCTTCACGGTGAGTTTAATTGATACTTAATTTAAATGCTTTGATTTAATTTAACCAATGGCCTGGCTTTGTTCTGAAAGGATCTGCGTAAGGAAGAGAGGCAGGTCTATAATGCAGATGACAGAGCATAACAGAATCCAGTGGTTAGAAGGAGAGCTAGATAATTTAAAGCCAGACACAAAGGAGAAGCTGTAATTATGGTGCTTAATTGCTTGCTCAAACAATTTACCTAGTGTTGTGGTGGATTCTCCAATACTTACATTCTTTCAGTTGAGGCTACATGTACTTCATAAGAAATATTCTTTAGCGCAACATAAGCTTTGTGGTATATTAGTTGGGTAGATTTCCGTGCCTTGCACAGTGCAGAAGGGCTAGATGAGATGGTCAATGAGAAGAGCTTTCAAAGCAACGACATAAGGAAGATTTACGATAGTTTTATTTGGGGTGGGGCATTATATTTGGGAAAAGGGATATTGCCAGAATGGTCAGTGAGTAAAGAGTCACAGGAGAAAATTGTAACAGCCAGATCAGGAATGGAGCTGTTGAGTTACTGGTGACCAAGGAGGATGGCTGTGTAAGAGTAGCAGAAAGAAATGCAGGTGGCTTCAGCCAAGACACAGAGGGAGATGCAGCACTGAGTGAGAAGCAAGAGGTTGCTGTCCCTCTGGGAGGGTTCCTAGGGACACACGTTCTGATGACAAAGGTTGTTCCAGCCTGGCTGTGTTAAATGTTGGGTGGCTAGATTTATTCATGTTTGCTAGGAAGGGCTCACTGTATGCAAAGCGTGCCTGGTGAATTATTTGCTTGGAGCAGAAATGTGGGAGCCACTGTAGATTCCACCTACAGTTTAACTTCTCAGTGAGAGCTCTGTGGTCTAGCCATTGGGTTGAGCAGCAGAGGGATCAGGCCCTATGAATTTGGCATCCAAGGAGCAGTGAGCTACTTTTGCTGGACAAGTGGCTTGTCCAGTAAAAAGTGGGTGAAACTCACTATTCCTCAATGGAGGGGGATTGCTTTTGAAGACCAAAGTGATCAAATTGGGTTTGATGGTTTTCACTCCATCTGCTATTACCCTTCAAGGAGGAGCTTGCTATAGTCACCCTTAGAAGTGGATAATGCAGCTATTCTAACAGCTCCATCCCTAACAGCCAAGGCGAGCAGATGCACTTCACCATATTGCCCCTGCCAGTGTGCAGGCTCCTGGGGTGTTTTTTTTTGTCCTGCTTCTTGTGTTCCCCCAGCACATCCATCTTGATGCTCCTTTTGTTGTGTTTTACCCATTCCTTGGTTCGCTAAAGCCTGCATCATCCAATACAGTTTGTTCTTTTTCTCCTCTCAGTTTCCCAGTGACTTTATCCTTATGACCACTGACTTCTGCAATCTCGCATCCCACATGTACTTAGAAACTTCTGAAAAACATTACTGTTTGCTGTATAACCAGCAGAAATAAGGTTTTTTTTTGGAAGGAAACACCTCAAAGACAGAAGTGAAACATGCATTTGATGATCATGTTTCCTGGCTAGCCAGAAAAGGACAGCCTTTACCTATTGAAGTTTCTCATCCAAATGCAGGAACCACAATGATGCAGAGGCGGTGCCATATGTAAGAGTAATTTTAGAGTAAGAGGATTGGTTATAAGCCCAAGTTTCCCTGTGCTGTTTTGATTACTTGTTCGCATCACAAAATGTTCATCTGTTTTTCTCCAAAGGAGCTTCTGATTGAAAACCAGGCAATATTGCAAAGAGTGATGAGGGACCACAAATGGCTTTCTCTGAATTAGCCAGGGTGCTCCACCATAGACAGGTTTGCAGAGAGTGGGGCACTGTGCCCATCTACAAGCCACTGCCCTTTATATTTTGCCTTACTCTTAGCCTTTTGACAGGTTAAAAAAATGGGGGTGGGAAAGAAAGGAGGAAATAACAGCAAACCCAGAAGTTTAGCTTCAGCTGTTAAAAAGAGATTAATTTTCTTTTTTTTTTATGATCTCACAAAGGAGTTAGGCTAAATTTAATTGAGGCTAGAGAGATAGGGCTGGAACAGATGAGGAAAAGGGAACTTGCTGAAAACATTGTCAAGGCACAGATAGCAAAAACGAGTGGCAGCAAATGCGTAACAGAAAACGAGAGGAGGAGAATGAGAAAGAGAAAAGGCTAATGGGGAAACAATTAGAAAATACTACCACCATGAAAACAAATGCATTAGAGGGTAGCTGAGAAGGACCTATGTGCCAGATTATAGTGAGCAATTAAGCAATTGAGCTATGGTAGTGTGGTCTTCATGCTCCCAAACTGCCCATAAGAAGAGTCTGCTTTTTAAACTTATTCCTTGAGATTCACATCATCTTCAGCTGTCACCAGCACTGGGCAACGTGGCTACTGAAGCAGATATTCTTGGTTTGTGTGTCACTCAGTCCATCCTTGCCATAAACCTGACAGACCATGAGAGCTGAGTGGGACCAAGGCATGTTACCTGGGAGCTTAAGCAACAACTAGGGAGCTTCCAGGACAGGAATGATAATAATCTGGTCCATACCAGGTTTTTTATTTTGCTTTGAATTAATATGGAGGTGATGTCCAGGGTCTGATGGTGTTTCATGCAGCAGGATGCTCTTTCATATGAGATGTCAAGCCAGCGGCTAAAAAACATGTCAGAATAAAGCTCCAGGATGCTTTTAGCAATGGGTAAGGTATAGTCATCTTTGAATGTAATAACTCTGCAGAGTGCAGAGTTGTCATATTTAGCTCTTAAGGCTCAGTGCCCTCATTGCTTTCTGCTCCTAAAACCTAGATAGCTGCCTAAGTTTTATTGCTGTGTTTTACATTTCTGAAGGACATGGGAGGAGGAGGCAGCAGTGTAGGTGAATCTTGCTGCTCGAGTGGCAGTGTTTTCTAGGTCCATCAGGGCTGGTGTGGGTGAGGGAAGCACAAGGTGGTGGGAGCATGGTTTGCGTACCTTTTGCCCTCACCCGTTGTGGCTGGTTTCCTCTCCAGCCCTGTGGAGAAGACCTGCATTTCACTTCTTGCTTTCAGAATGACGCTCAGCAGTGTTAATGTAAGGTCAGGCGTCAGTCATATAGGGGAAGAAAGTCGTGTCATTGCAGCTCAGTCCTGGATGCTTGTCCATCTTCAGGGTGCTTCTGCCATGCTCCCATTTGCCTCATTAAAAGCCAGTCATGATAGCTTTCACTGGTATCAGCTGTCTAGCGCAACAGGCTCACCTTCCAGTGGTAGGAATCGCTAAAGTGCTGTGTGCACACTGAGTGATCAGACTGCACAGTGAGGAAGAGCCACAAGTGTTAGAACCAATGTTTGGCACTTACTGGTTCCTCTCCCACACAAGAAGTGATGGAGGTATAAGATGACCGCAGGTTGTCTATCTGCTAGTTTTGGGTCAGACATTGGGACTTTAAGTAGAAATGACTCAAGTAGGAAATCTGTTACCTGAAGTGAACTTACTGGGCTGGAATAAGCAGACATACATATACATCAGTTTTAACAGTCATTGCTGTTAGCTGGAGGTACTGTCCGCACATTCCATGTGGAGACCTTGCTCCTTTCCCCAAGACTGACTCAGCATTGCTAACAGCAAATAGCTAGGACAAGGTTATAAATGCAGGAACCCACAGGACTACTTTTTCTGGTTTATACCCAAGAGATTTCATTTGCTTCTTTGATAAAGGACTTACTGAATTTGCTCCACCATGAAGCATGTAAGATGCAGATGTTTTGCCAGTCAGGATGAGCTGGCAAAACAGCTCTGCTCCTAAGTCCCAACAGCTTACTCTTGTAAGCTTTTCTGGTGATCTGTGAGCCCAACTTAGGAGAAAAGGGAAATGAAGTGTGATTTCTGTTTTGTTTTCTCTAGACAGACAGTCTAGACTATCAGGTAGGTAGGCTATCAGATATGCTGCCTTCTTGCCTAAGTGTTCCATATAATCCTGGGGTCTGGTTGAAGAGCTCGTTGTTTGTTTCTCTGAGAAGCATGTGTACACAGAAGTCTTAGCTGTGCGGCACCAAGAATATGCCCAGGTAGACTAGGAGTGAGCCTGTGGCTGCGTTCCTGCCTCGTTCAATGAACTGTATGTGGCTGCACTTCTCAGCTTTGGAAGCAATTCAAATAGAAGGTTGCATGCGTGACCACAGAGATGTGTCAGAATAGTTAGAGTGTTGTAGGATTGTGGACTTTGGTAATGATTTCACTCCAAGGTGGTCTTCACCTTTCTTCTGTCCCCTTTCCTCTTCCCCCTCTTCTCAGAAAATTGTTCACACAAGCTAATACAGCCCTTAGCTGCCATGCTCAGCAGAGCTACAGCTCTCTCTTGCATCTCATCCCTGGTATATTGCACTTGCTGCAGTTACAGACCACCTCTTTGCAAATCCAGTTGCCTCTCTGCATTGTCCCGTTGTTCCCAGATGGAAGGGCTTTTCTGCAATGGCACTCTGCTACATGACCTGGTTCTGTCGCTTGCACTGATCCTTTTCCATGATCAAAACAAATCTTTCCTGATTGGGTCATAGGTGCCTGCTGTTTTCGATGGCCTTGAGGAGTCCTAACACCAAAGCAGAGCATGGACAAAACTGACAGGACAAGGGGCAATGGCTTTAAGCTCAAAGAGGGGAGATTTAGATTAGATACTAGGAAGAAGTTCCTCACTATGAGGGTGGTGAGACACTGGAACAGGTTGTCCAGAGCAGTTGTGGCTGCCCCATCCCTTGCAGTGTTCAAGGCTGGACGGGGCTTTGAGCAACCTGGTCTAGTAGAAGCTGTCCCTGTCTGTGGCAGGGGTTTGGAACTAGGTAAGCTTTAAGGTCCCTTCCAACACAAACCATTCTGGGACAGAGGGCTCAAAAGCATTGGCTTTTGCCTGTGTGGTGTCTTCATTTCTTCATCGCATCTCAAATCCAGCTCTGTAGGACCATCTTGATAGTACTGTAGGACCATCATCACTGCTACCCAGCAAGTGTGGTTTGTGTGCAGAGAAAAGCACATGTTTATTGCAATGAACAGGGTGGTTTGTTTTTTTATGAGTTACATTTTCAGTGGCATCTGAGTCCAGTTCTCAAAAGTGATGTAGGCTTTTAAGAGACCAAAGCCAAGATTTTCATAAATAAGTAATGATTTGGGCTGCCTCCCTTTTCTGTTACACAAGTTGAGATGTCTAAAAGGAGCCTGGTTGTCAGCAGTTGTGGAATTCTGGCATTTTTTCAGAATTGACATGCTTTTAAAATATCTTAAGCTGGGCATTCAGAAATGGAGGCATCAAGAATGATTAGCTGCTTTTGAAAACCTGTTTCTTAAAAGTTTGAATGAAAATCGCTATGATTTTCATTCTAAATTACATGTTAAAAAGTACTAAAGGTGTATTTTGGAAGTGCCTATCTGTGACTACACTTGTCCCCAGAGCATCTGCACTATTATATATTAATGTACTCACAAAAGCTGAACAGTGAAAGGGAAATGTATCACTACTGTTCTGAATGGATGGTAGGATTGATGGGCTTCTCCAGGGTATCAGCCTGTATCCATTTTGGTTTGAGGATGAAAATAGCAATGGTTTTGCAGGTATCACCAATAACCTGATCAGGAATTCTGACCTACTGGGGAAGAAAATACAAGTTTATATTTTAATTTCTATACATTAGGACCAATATGTTTAAAGAGAAGTGCGTGCAAGTTAAATATGTTAAAGGGTTTTATAGATTTGATTTTATAAACCTGCAAAGTAGTAGGTTTGCAACTGTATTTCCCCATCCTAAATTTCTAATATACTTGTGACTCTCATCATCTCTTCTCTCAGATCTGAACCATGTCCCACCCGTCCTGGCTGCCACCCAAGAGTACCAACGAGCCTGTTGGTCACATTACTGCAAGGATGGAGACCACACACACCTTTGGGACTCCCAGCATCTCGGTGTCTACCCAGCAGACACCAAAGAAGTTTGCTCCTGTCGTTGCCCCCAAGCCAAAGTACAATCCATACAAGCAACCAGGAGGTGATGGTATGTATTTATTATTTTTAGGAAGGAACCACAGCAGTTTGATTCTGACTGCTAACATAGGCTGTTCTTGACGTGTTCTTTGTTGATCTGTTTGTGGGAGCCTACTGGTTTGATTCAGGTTTTTTTTTAACCTTTTCCCTCTACTATGGAACACTCTTGAATATGAAATAATGCTGAGGATGTTTATGTAGCCATCACAAAAGCCTTTGGAGTGGTTAGGTCAAGAGAACAACCACCATGTCTCAGCTTTCCTTGACCCCCTGCTATAGAAGTCCTCCTCTCTTCACATAAGCAACAAGTGTGGGTGTTGGGTTCTTGGCTTATGTACATATGGAGGGAGGGAGCACAGCTGGGGATGCCTCTGGGGTTTGCAGCTCGAAACCTGACAGTTGAATGCCCCTAGCTGAATGTGGAGAGTGTGTGATGGGACCTTCCTGCAGCAAAACGGTGAAAGACAAGGGTTTTAGGATAGTAGTATCTGTCTTAGCAGAGTGGCCGCTTTCCTTTTCTTGGTCATTTACTGTGGTTAGAAATCGGTGGAAAACTTTCTCTCTTCTGCTCTCCCTCCACAAATGAAATCTTGGTTGTATTCAAGAAAACAGGCAAACCTTTTGATTTTTGGTTTTGGATGCTCTGCTTCATTCCATCACCACTTTTCCCTATTTAGTGTAGAGTGCAGTAAGATAATCTGTTTTTTTGTGGTTTTGTTTTTTTTTTTCCCCCTTTTAAAGCATATGCATTTTCAGGAAGATTACAGAGTTATGAAAAGGAGAAAGAACAATAAACGAGCATATTAAATCTCAAACTTGAGCAATTTTCTAATGTTAAGGACATTTTGTAGGAAAGTTGGAAAAGTCTGACGAGTTCTTTCCTCTGCAGCTCTAACTTTGGAGAATTCAGAACGAAAAAAGAAAATGTGTTGGAGGGAAAAGCGAAGTCGTATGCACCTGTTCTGTTGCCTTCAGTAACAAACTTAGCGAGTAAGAGGAAGAGAAAGACATTTGGAATTAAAAAAGTAGAAAATCCATTTCTGAAGTGCAGTGAAAATGTCACCATCAAGTTAATTAGAATTTCTTATTCTTCTAATTCTCTTAAAATTTAAAATAATAATGAAAAATGACATTAGGGTTGGTTTGTTGTCCTAGGAAAACCGTTGTTGATCAGCCGCTTTTTTTTTTTGATGAAAGATGTCAGTATGCGTTAGTTGTCACTGCTTTGATGATTGTAGATCTGATTATATGTGACTTAGGAACATTATCACCATCTAAAAAATTCTTAGTTTCTTGGCATTTGGGGAAGGAGGCTGTCCTTAAGAACAGAGCAGGGACTGCAGGCTGAGAAGGGGAGATGTGGCACACATATATTTCTCATGCAACCCTGACTACCTGGTCCTGCAAGCAGCAGAGCATTGCCAGGTCTTTTATAAAACAGAAGACATTAGAAGCTCGCAGGGAGACTTTTTCAGTGCTAATCCCTTGCCTTGTCTGATGCTGGGCTTTTGGAGATTCCATCGTTATCTGACAGGACTGGAAGAGCTAAGGGTTGGCCAAGACCTGGTCAGGGACTGGCTTAGTGATGCGACAGCCTGCCTGCAGCTTAAGCTAATCCACTTTCACAAGGTGACACGCTGCTGGTAGGTGTCAGCAGCTGGTGCAAAGCCATTAGCCCAGCCATATATAACCCTGAGAATATGAAGCTTCTGGGATCTGGCAGGCAAGAAGGGGACAGTGAGAAAATATTTAGTCCACCATGCTTCATTCACTTTCTAAGGCTCCCTTCTCTCCTCCAGGCTCCCTAATTGTTTGGGTTTTTTGTCCCATTACCTCCATTGTTTTTGCAGTAATAATTCAGCCTAAGAGACAGCTCCATGCCCCACTGGTTCCCTGCATAAAGGGGCACTGTGAGTCATTTTACCTAAATTTGTTCTCTGTTGGTCACAGGTCTTTCCCATCTGGTTATCTGTGAGTCTGTAGGTGGAAGAGCTGCAGCATCCCCTTCTGCCTCGGTGTGTTTTCATCCCTCCTGTCCCACCAGAGCTGCTTCACTGGAGGCATGTGGGCTTTCCGCCCAGCATGTGGGTAGCACACAGTGCAGCATCCTTCTGCCAGAGATGAGTGCAAGCAGCAGCACTGCTCCTGGGAAGTGCTGTCCCAGGGCTGCAATGGGGCAGAAAGCATCTGTGCATATCAGAGCCTGGCACAGCCTTGCCTGCCCCAGCCATGTCGCTGGAGTTGGTTCATTGCTACCAGAGGCTGCAGGAATGGTGTTTGGTATCTCTCTGGGAGGTCAGCAAATTCCTTTCCCGTTAATTTCTTCAGCTCATTGCTTTTAATGTTTGGGAAAATGCATCCTCTGGCCTTGCATTTCTGTTCTTCTTCTTCTTTTTGTTATTATTATTTTTATTTTTTTTTTTTTTGTAGGTATGTTGCTAGCACGTAGCAGATCTGCCCAGCTGATCACATTTTGTGGTTTTATTTCTTGATCACATTGAAAGCACACTGGAGTTACAGGCTGTGGAGCAGACTCTGTGTACAGTGGAGAATTGGCTGCACACCCCTCTCCTCCTGCCTCCCACCAAAGGCATTTCTTTGGTCTCACCTTGACTTTGATTTTATTATTTTTTTTCCTCTAACATCTGCACAGAAATCAGCCAGAAGGTGTTGATTAAAAGGTACTCAATGGAACTTTAAAAGAAATGGTTAAATGAATGAAAAAAGGTGAAATTGCAGCAGCCAACAGTTTATAAACCAGCAGCATTTTATTATGACTGGAAGCACTCAAGGCATGCATGGTTTAGACCAGCTAAATGAGCAATTTTCATAGTGCTGTGAGCCCCTCTCTTTGCTATTTGCCATGGTGACTTGCTGCAACTTGTTTCAAACTAGATTTCTCAACTTATCAAAGCAGAGATTCCGTCTTGCTGTTGCAAGGCTCTGTTTGGAGGGCCCCAGGTATGACTGCAGTAGTAGTAGTAATGATAATAATAATAATAATAATGATCAGTAAGACCACAGCTCTGATTAACATTCTGCACAGGTCTCTGCCATTCAGCTAGCTGAAGAGGCAGGCACAGCTGTGTTTTTATAGGTCCTACAAACACTGGACCAGACGTCCACGTGCTGTTGTCTGGGCTGGGTTTCTGGAGGATTTACAGTTAGCATTCCCCACTGTGACAGTTTCTGGGGGATTAACCTTGCCTGATCCCAGGAGGCATGAACACTGCAGTCCCCAGGACATGCTGGTTTCTGACATCTTACACAGCTCTGTATTCATCACACAGAGGGAGGAGAGCTGTTTATGCTTGGGGAAGATGGTTTTCTACAAGACAAACAAGTGTGCATGGGAAGGAAGTGTAGCTGCTAGTGAATTAGGCTGGAAATCAAAATTAGATGTCCAGACATTTGAGCAGTGGCTCTGGAAGTGTAGAACTGGGGCCAGGGATGATCCTCGGTTGGAGCTGGATGTATTTGGAGTTTGAGAGCATCTTCTCTTTGTGCTGGAAGGAGAAGGGTCCTGATATATATGTTACATCATCCAGCCATGGGTCCTGACAGTCTATTTCTTATAGTTGGCTTCTTTCTCTATGTTCACGTGTTTGGTGCTACCTGCCTCCTCCCTCTGTTCCTCAGCAGACTCTCTCTGAAAGTGTGGTCTTGTTCTCTGTACTCACTGAGCAGAAAATCTTTTAAGCAAATTAATACCTTTTTCTGGGGAGACAGTATTAATTTCATTTTCTTTAAAATCATGGGATGCCCCAAAGGTCAGGGTAGACAGGCTTTGATCAACCTGATCTAGCGACAGATGTCCCTGACAATGGCATGGGCATTGGATTAGGTGATCTTTGAAAGTCCCTTCCAAATTTTTTGTGATTCTATGGATGCCCTACCTCCTTTCCCTGCCACATATTCCTCTCTGGCTCTCTAGCTTTGACATTTAAATTGGTCTTTCAACATCTTCAACAGAACTGGGGCCTTGGGAAAGTGTTGCCACACGGCTGTTCCCATCTCTGCTGGCCTCAGGAAGGTGGAGAGGATTTACGGCTTACAGATGAAGCAGATTTCCTTTTCTTCTTTTCCCCTAGTCCTGGAAAACAGGGTCTCACCCTCCAGGGCAGACTAAGGAGGCATCTGGTACAGAATGAGATTGGTGATGGTTGATCCACTGACTTTGTGCATGCTGCCATGGGTCTGGTGGTGATGGGGCTGGTGTGAGTTTGCAGGCTCTGTGTCACTCGGAGGACAACTGGCAGCTGTGAAACAAATGCTGCTGGGGCAGGGCAGCTGGGATGGAGTGCGGGGTATATGCACTGGGATGGTGCCGGGGGTGATGCCCTGCCTGAGCTGCTTAGAAAAGCCTGAGTTAGGGCCCTTTAGACCATCAGATGGCTTGAGCATAGTGAGTGGCAAGCTTTGCAGTGTTTGGATACTTTTAATTTTGAGCTAGTTTTCAGAGCTTCAAAACCTCTTTTCCCCTTGCCTTTCCCCTTCCCCTCCAAATGGAATTCCTCAGATACGAAGCAGTGCAAGTCCAGGAGAAAACACACTGTGCTGATGCAGGTGGAGCCCAACTAGTGAGCCCTGGGAGGCTGCTGCCCAAAGTCCCCTGAGTTGCAGGATTGGGCTTTCCAGTCCAGCATTCACGGGCTCTGCCGCAGCTCCCTGCAGGTTGAATATGCCTCCTCTGCCATCATGTGTGATCATTTGAAGGGTGGCAGGGTGAGGAGCAAGTCTATCCTCACTTACTGAGAAATGCCAGACATTGCTTGATGACCATAATACCTGCAGCAGCAGTTAATATGGATTTAATAATGGAAACTAAATGAAAGGACAGGAATCAAAGCAAGTTCTTGCTTTCTCCTTCCTTTCCTTTGGTGGCTTTCAGATACGGTGAACAACAAGGCTCATGTGAAGGCCTTTGAGGTTTTCACAATGTTGTTTTTTTGTTGTTTGGATTCTTTTTAAACCCATCTCTTTCCATTTACTTTGGTTGGAGGACAAAGCAAGTGACTCACGAGACAAGGCATAACAGCAGGACCAGCTCCAGGGTGAGGCTACATGGTTGACATCAATGTGAATGCTTGAACCCACCTGATCCAGGTTTCCCAGGGCTTGGCTATCCCTATGTGCTCCTCCTCTTCCTGTGTGTGGAGGCTCTTGAGCACTAATGAATTATATTCTGCTATGTCTGTAGGGGACTAGGATTGTGAACGGTCGGGCTGTTTGTTGTTCTCTTTATAGGCAGATATACCTAGTGGGTTTTGTTTACAGCAGCTGCTATCAGTAGCTCAGTCTAATTTTCAAAACCTGGGTATGGATTTATTGGACTAGACACTCTGTGTTTTAGCTCTGCTGTTCCCTGCTCTACAGTCTTTGACAGTTCAGAGAAGCTAACCAGGTCCAGAGTCTATTCATTACTTGGACGAGAGCCCTGAAAGAATAAATTCAGGCTGACTTGGGAGATTCTGCGGGTTTGTATTTTTCTGACTGGTTGATTGGTTTGGGGATTTTTTTTGTCTTTTTTGTTTTGATTTGTTTTGGGGTTTTGTTTGTTTGTTTTTGTTTTTTGTGGTTGTCTGTGCTGGGTCTGCACCAAAGCAAAAGGAATCCTTGCTGATGGGAGGTGTGTTGATTGAGAGGCAGAGAGTTGGCATACCTGCTCCTTGGGGCTTCTTGTGAGCTTCTGCAGTGTTGTGCTCATTGTTGGAAGGTGGCTGCAGGAGCAGCGAGCTGTCTCAGCCACACTCCAGTGGTGGTTTGTGTGCACCTTGTTCAATGTTAACATGAGATAATGCGTTTTAGTCTTTTATCGTGGCTCACTCTCTTGCATGTGCTGTGAGTTATACACGTAAACTGTTGCTGTAGCCTAGATGAGGCATGGGAATATCTTGTTATTCAGTCATTTTGATGCTGAATTGAGTCCTGGGAGTACCGAAGTATTTCCAATGGGATCTGCTGGTCTCTGCCTCCTGCCTTGCTCCACCAGCTGAAGAAAATCATTGATGCTCTGCAGAAGAGGCATCAGTGTGTAAGTGATGGGGCAAAAAAAAAAAAAAAAAAAAGGCTGAGTCCTCTGAGACTTTTCTAATCCCATCATTGCCATGGATGCTGTGGTCCCATCCCTCTAAGGATTGAGCTTGTGGAGATCAGAAATGTAGTGGGAAGAAGGAGATAACTTTACTGTTGCAAATAATCCTGACTTGCCTCAGCACAGTCCCCATGTTAGTGATGTTTTTTAGAGAAAGCTTTTTTAAAGCACACATTATAAACTTTTAAAGTCTTCTTAATCCTTGTTCCCATTCTTCATGCGTTTCTTGCACTGAATGGAGCACAAGAAATTGAGCAGTTGAAGCAATACTTTATTCATTAGTGTCAGAACTGCATCATCCACAGGCTCTTACAAACTACAGCCAGTGAAAATGAACTTGAAGCTCCAGGCCTCTTTGTGGTGGCTTTGCTACCTTCTACACAAGAGCATTTAAAGCACAAACAAAGCCCCCAAATGCTGCAGAACAAACGGGAAGGCAGGGGTCCCTCATTAAGGGGTAGCTGCAAACCAGTTTGGAGCAGCCTTTCGGAAGTCTCCATTGATTTCTCTCTAATGACATCCTCTTCTCTGTTGGTTAAGAACCAAATGAAACCAGTTGGAAATTAGTGGTGGTTCTCATTTTTATAATAGCAGATTTAAACTGCCCCAAGCAAGCCGAGCTGTATTGAAGAAGCATGAGACCAAACTGGTGCTTTTATGCCTGGGCAGCATCCCTCTACTTGATAGTTTATCAGTCATGTGGACATGGAGTTTTGCCCAGTTGTCCACAGACCAGTGGCCAGTATCAGCACTTGTCATTCTCACCAGTGTAAATAAACTGGCTCTGGGCAGGTCCTTCTGTTTTGAATGCAGTCATCGCAAAAGTTCTTACTGCTTGTCCTGGATAATAGTGTCCGCATCTTCTTTTCTTGATAGAAATAAATATGTAGGACTCTGCTCTTGGCTTTGCTCTCAGAATGAACATTTTCTTTTTTGAAATACCACCTGAGATAATGGCACCAGGAAAAATGCACATAAAACAGGTGCCTAAAAATTATTGTTGAACCAGTATACTTATCTGTAGTTCGCAAAATGTCAAGTCAGGCCACTAAGTTTTATTAGCGATTCTGACCATGTTTTGTTAGAATTACAAATATTAAACTTTCATAGGCTCTGGAACACATTGTCTCTTATTTGGGAACTACTTGAAGTAGTGCTTAGCCTTGTTTTTCATTTCGATGAGCGAGCTCCTATTTTCTCTGTTATTTGGTATGATAAAGCAAACGTTGCACTTCCCAGCAGGTGGGGGCTTTTGGTTTGGTTTTCTGCCATGCTATTTTTTCTCATTTTCTTTTCCTCCTCTCTGCCTGCTCTTCCGAGATACTATATTTAATTTTTCCACTTCATTATTTCAGACATTGAATAGTGATTCATCTTTGCACTGGCCTGTGCTGTGAACCACAACAGTTTGGGTAGAATAAAGAAAAAGGGCAAAAAGAAAAAAAAAAAAGGTGAAGGGCAAAAGAGAAAAAAGAAAAAAGACGGTTCTGACATACACTTGCTTGGAAAGAATCCATCTTTTTATAACTCGAATTTCAAATATCTGTCATCGACTAGATCAAAACTACTTTCAAAAAAACATTGTTTGTCCTCTATATAGTTTTAAAAGTCTGTGGTACCCAGTCAAAGCGAGAGAGCAATGTTCATGCAGAAATAGCTTGAATTCAAGCAGGCAGCACTTGTCCCTTTTATTTTAATCTGAAATGTTAACATCCTCCAGATGCTAGTTTGTTAAATAATAACAATTGTTATATGACAGTTAACAGTCGAGTAATATTTTTTTTTGCCCATGTTCAAACAATGTGGCTCTTCTACACCCTGAAAACTAACTGTTATAATAAAGGATTATAAGTGTATTTTTCCTTTTCTCTGCCTAAAGCTTTTTCACTCTGCCAGAGTGTTGCTAAGTCAGAGCAACCAATAAATGTCTTTTGAATTCTATTACAGGTTGGTCTAATAAAAGGCTAGAAGAATGAATGAGCAATTCTTGAAGCCATAGAAACTGTACTTGTGGCCAAAGAGAAGGCATTTCTGGCAGCGAACACTACACAATTACAAATTGGACTAAACACACAAGGCCCAAAATACTTGTTGCTAAGCAAAGTGTCTTGGGATGGACTGAGTGCATGAGCTGAGGGTCTGTGAGTAGGACTGACAGTCATGTGATTCTGGCTGTCCTGGGGAGGGTGCTTATGCAGAAGGGGATGAGCAGGGATCAGGTCTAATTCCTAATAAGCAGACATCATTATCTAAAAATTCCCCTTCTGTCATCTTCTTTAACTAGCACGCACACTGAAAAGTCATAGCCATGGCAGAACATGCAAGCATGCTCTAGGAGCTTCACTGGGGATTTACCCAAACTGTCTGAGGACCTATGAAGTGCAAAAGACTTAGAAGTCTCTTCCAACTCTTAATTCCTGTGATGACAATGACTAAGGAAAGATTTTGGTTTAGTCTAGATATGACCAAACCATTAAGCTTGACATAAAGGGCTGGCTGGTAGAAATCACACTGACATGAGAACTGGCATTTGTTTTGCAAAGCACTGAGTTTATGGGAAATGCCATGGAGGTGAGGAATAAGATGAAGGACCCGTGCATCTGGGTCACCTCTGTTACAAGATCCATTTGAAAAGGTTTAGCAACTGGCTTTTCTAGATATTCTGCAATGGCATTGGGCTTTGTGTAGTCTGAGCACCTGTCATGTGATGGTCTGCCTGGGGTTCCTGCCATCGGAGATGCCCCTGAGCAAGCTGATGGGAGGAGAGGGAGCCCTCAAGAGTAGGAAAACAGTACTAAAACAGTATTAGTAAGCACAATCTTTTAAAAGTAGGCTTAATATTGGAAATTATAGAAGTTTGAAATTTATGTTTTAAAGAGTGAACGTGTAATAAGGGTTCAATTCTTATGAAGTGGAAGCTGATGGTCTCTGTGACTGGTGACTCACCCCATCCTGAGCTATACCAGCTGGCAGGAGACCTGCTTTTTGGTAACAGCATCAACAAAATAAAGTTACATTAACTTTTTGCCCTGGGTACTCCTCAGTGCAGGCTTACAATCTGAGCTCAAAGTTTCCCGACTTCCCTACTGGCCCCATCACCTAGAGCTCTTCTGCCAGGGACCCAGTACATTGGGCATTCCAGTGGCTTCCTTGAGACCACCATGCTCTGCAGCTGGGTGCATTTCCATCCACTTCCCTCATCCAGAGCAGTCCAGCTCAGGTCTTCACAGGATCAGGTTACCTCTCAGCCCCTGAATTGTCAAGATCACCTTTACAATGTGTTACTATACTCTTCAAGGGAATGTGCTAACCTGAAGCATGTTATATATTTGCAAAGTTTTTTGCAGGAGTGTGAAAAGGGATAGTCATAGTTCCTGGGCCACTTCTCGGGAAGGGTAAGGAAAAGAGGTTTTCTCGATGAGGATCCATTAACATTGCTCCGGCTGGCAGGCAGTGAAACACAGGAGGTAAAAGTCCATTCTTCTCCTTTCCCAGTCCTACGATTTAAAATGTTTGAGCGTGCACTTCAGAAGCTGGGGAAGTAAAAGCCCCCAGTTGTGCCAGGAGACTCTGCAAAGGCCACAGCGAGTGAATGGGCTGTGGAGTGTTAATACAGTCCATCATTTTGTAACGAGCCCGATGTTCTTGTATGAGCCGTGTCAGGCTGTTGTCTGCACGCTGTCTTTGCTGATCACAGTAATCGGGTCATAAGAGAGGGAGAAGTAATAGCGCGTCTCTTAGCAACCAGCCCCAGGAGAAAGAGAGAATTACTCAAACAGACTATCCAGTCAGGGAAGTAGAAAGATGAAATTTTCTGAAAGTCTGTTGGAAAGTGCTCAGGGACATAACTCTTTTATGTGCGAGATCCTTATAGGCTGCATCCAGTGATATCAGACACTTTTTATTTTCTTGATGTCTTCCTGGTAAACTTTTATTTTTTAATTGGCCTCAGAAAAGTGGAGGGGGGGGGGAGAGGAGGAATCCTCTGAAACAGAGACATTTTAAAAAATAAGGGGCAGATTTTTGTATTACCTTTAACAATGCTAGCAAGAAGGGAGGGAGCGAAGGTCAGCATGTCACAGGCAAGAGATGAGGAGAGCCTCTTATCTCTGCACGAGTGCTTTGAATGCTTCCCATGTCAGTACTAGCCAAAGCACGTTGCTGTATCAGCCGATGCTGCAGTGGCATGTACAAAACAAACTTGTTGGGTCTCCACTGCATTGCACGGGGTGTCACGTCCCATGAGTGTCATGGAACTTGTGCCATGCTGATTGACAGCTTGACAGAGAGCTGGACCTGATGTGCCCTCCTAGCAGCCGTGCCGGGCCAGCCCAGCTAAGAGGTCATATGGGGCAGGTACTGGTCAAGTCTGTGCCAGCAGCCTTTCTCTCATTGCCTCCGTTTTGTGTCCTCTTCCAAGCTTCTGGTTTGTGTAAGACATGTAGGGGGACATCTCTGAGGCCTTCTCAAAGACTTTGGCCAACACTGGCCCCAGGGCTCGGGGGGTGGGGTGGGGGCAGTCTGGAAGCTGTTCATTTGCACTTTGTATGCGAGATGGGGACAAGCTTGTGCTGTCCTGTCTTGTGCTTCTTAAAGATTTTTATTTTTTTTTTATTCCGGTAAGATGCACTTCTGTGGTCAGCAGGTCTACATCCTTCCCGATGCTGCTTAGGGGAAGGGGACCATGTCTGGAATAGTCTGCCCACCCTCCCTAAGCAAGAAAGAAATGTGTGTTTAGTGGAAAGGCACATACTCCAGAATGCTTGAGCCACCCCCAGATTTGTGCTTGCATCCTTAGAACTATTGCAGGGACGAAATGTTTCTGAAAGCCTGGTTTGGTCCCTGGCTCTGAGGAGACAAAAAGAAAGTGTTGCAACTGTTGCAAAAGGAAACTGTGGAGGGGAGCAGATGCTTTTAATGGATGATCCAGCTACTAATTTGTGCCCTTCATCTGCATTTGTCTGCTCTGTGATGCCAGGGCATGTCCAGGTTGTGCAGAGGGACTAGGCTCACCTCTGCATGGGATAGCTTGACTTCCAGTAATAAACTTACTTGCAGATTCATGTGGTTTAATGAAGGCTGCAATCATTCTCCCAAATCAGGATACTGGACAGTTGGGTAAAGGGGTTCAGGCTGAGCTCTGGGCTGCTGTGGTTGAGCTGTTGTTTGTACCTGGGTTAGTTTGCTTGTACCTGGAATCTCTGTGAGCATGAGCTTGGGTTCAACCTGTGTTAAAACCAAAATTTTTCAGAGATAAGGCTAACTTCAGCGTCTTATCCTGGAAATAATCAGTAGAAGACAGTTGAGAGAAAAAAAAAACAAAACAACAAAAACCAAACTTAGCCTTGCAGCTGTACAGAATTAAAAGCTTAGGAGCAACATCTACCACTGTCAGGGAAAAGTGAGATAAAGAACAGTATTAATTGTGACTACTTCCAAGCAAATCATAGAGACTGCTGCTTTATTGTCCTCTCAGAAAGAAGAAAGACTTTCTTCCTTAAAAGTTTAGTAATTGAAGAGTTTCCTTGGTATTTTTGTGAGTGCCAGTAAGTGATGTTTCCTGGAAATTTTCCCCAAACTCTACAAATATCACCCCAGGGCTTACAAAAGTGATTCAGTTTGGGAAGTCAACACCATGCACTTCCTCAACACTGTCAGGCAGGCCCCCGGGTGGAGCATGCAGCTTCTGCAAAACCATTAATTGGTTGTTAAATTACAGTACAATTAGGCGCCTTCTTGAAAACTGAATTCCTGTTGTTCAGTCTTACCTTCCTGTCATGTTAGAAATGAAGGCGCAGGGGCAGGGGAGGCTGATGCATAGTTCGGGTCTGGAAAGTTGTCATTGGTCTTTCAAGGTGTTACCTTTCTTCTCAGCAGCATGCTCCTCGAATGACCCCAGCTGACAGATAGATGAGATGTTCCTTATTGCCAGCCTTCATTGTCCTGGGACCAAGATTATCTCACACGTCTTGCTTTTGTAATTGGCTCCTTTCCTCCTTCCTGTTACATTTTTGACATCACTTTTTGTATCAACTGGGTACAAACAGAGCCATTTGTAACCTCGTGTGATAACCAAGCATAAAAGGGACCTAGCTGACTGAATTCATTCTGCAAGTGTAGAAGGAAGATTGCACTGGGAGCTCAGGTCTGACACAGCTGTCTTAAGTAAAAATGAATTTATAAAGATGAGGCAACACATGAAAGAAGTGTTAGCTGGGTAAAATCACAGCTGGCCTGCATTTCCTCTGGTATCAGCATGGACTTGAGACCACACAGTCGTAACCAGTAATATATGAAGTGTTGCAGTATAATCCTCATCTTCTGCTTAGTCCATTCAATGCCTTAGATTTGGATTAAACTCCGAATGGAAGTTTTGTTATTAACCTGTCCCTGCCAGCAGTGGTCCTTCAGAATTTGAGCCTGTAACCCTTTACCTACAGCAGAAAAGGCAGTTGGGTTTGTAACATGAGAATACTTGACCAACTTCTCTTGGTGCACCAAGTGTTCAGCCTGTGTGCAGAAAAAAATGGGACATAGGCCCTCAGGAAGGAGAGGTGACCTTGTGGCAGTCAGAGGGAATTGGGCTGTTGGATCTCCAGCTGCCAGATCTCTGTGTTTTGTTCAATCGTTCACTTCCCTCAGTAGGGACAAGAGTCTTTGAGAGGGCTGCAGGAATGATTGGTTTGACTGAGCCTGAAGACTCTTGATATTTAAACATTTCTCCATGCCAGTAAATTGCTCTTGTTGGCCAGACAGAAAATACTTCAAATTTAGCAAGTCAATTTAAATTTAGCAAGACAAGAGAGGTGATGCATCATCACAGCTGAGCTCTTTCTCTACAATCATACTTGGACTTTTTAAACAAATTATTGCTGAACCACCCTGTTTCCATTCTGAGTATATGGTGCTTTCCTGAGATATTACTGAGACAAGCTAATGGAGGATCCATTTGCCTTGTTATGCCTTCTTATGTGGGAAGACTATTAATCTTCCTGTTTCTGGTGCACATTTAGCACTGCCTGTTTGTGTGTGTCCAGAAGTGCTTTTGCTAATGATCCCTTTTGCCCCAGCAAGAATGTGTTGTGTAACTGCGGTAGGGAAACAAATAAAAGAGAAATAAGGTAGCAGGGTAACTATTTTGAGAGATGAGCTTTCGCTTGGCATGTTAATTTTCCCAAGAGATATGGCACGTCCAGTACCTTGTGTAAGTTGACCATCAAGCATGGCATGGGTCTCTGGAGGGGGAATATTCCATTTTAAGAATCTGTTGGGTACGACATGGGCTCATGTTTGATGGATGTCGCCAAGTATTTAAAACTCAAAGCGCTATGAATTCCACCTGTGAAACTGGAGGCAGAGGTAACACAAGTTGGGAAATCTGGGCCTAAATGTCAGGGCCTAAAGGTCACTTTTCATCAGTGGAAAGTGCAGTTGTCACTACAAATGTGAGGCTGCAGGAAAGGAGTTGTGAGGCTCCCTATCTGTTTGATCTCCTGACCAAATACACTTAGTTTACACAAAGTCCAGAGTTTGTTTTTTTCTAACAAACCTATCCAGCAAATGTGGTTGTGATCTTAAGATTCAAACTCATTTTTTCTTGTTTATTCTTTTTCCCTGTGATCTAAGAGTGATAAAGAAGTTTCTAAGCATTTGGTCGGTGACTGGGATGGAGCTGAAATGGGAGCTTTCTCTTGTAGCTGTTCTGGCTCTGTCATGCCCAGAGTAATGAAAGCTTTGTATGAGAGGAGCCGGAAAATTCATGAGGCATCAGAAGGAGCATGAAGATGTGACTTACTTCTATAAGCATTTAATTGTGAAATCTTTTTTTGCAATTAAAAAAATTGATTAGAAAAACGATTAGTCAAGTCTGTTGGAAGGAAGCAAATGTCTTATTTGTGGGGACTAAAAAAGGTTTGACTGTCTCAAATATCTTACCTTCTTGGTTTTTCTTCTTTTTTATTGCAAATGATAAATTATTAAAATAAGGGTGTGTTTTGAAAGGAAGATTTCTAAAGAATGCTTGGAAGATTCTGTCCTTGTTTGTTAATTATTTCATGTGGAATAATCACCATCTGCAAGTGGCCAAGAAACAAAAAAGCATTTGTTTGTTGATCCCAGTGTTTTAGCATTCTGTTTGAGAGTGAAATCTTGATTTTGTTTGGTTGTCCCTCATTGAGCGGTGCTGCAGGTCACGTTTCCCTCTGACACTTGTGCAACCCATTGCCGCTAAATTAAGTCAGCGATGGTTCCTCTGAGCAGATTTACATAAATACAGCTGTCTGGACCTTGCAAATATGTTTGTTATTTATGCACAAGGAAGACCTGAAGCCAGATATTTCTTGTAAGGACTGGCCTAGTTGAGCTGACAAAAGGCACAGCCTGCAAGGAAAAAAACACTTTCAGCTTCAGCCAGTAGCTCCAGTTCTTATTGGGAATAATCTCTAACTGGATGCAGATGTGTTTACTGTGAAAATGCCAATTTTATATCGTCATATCTGTGTGCCTTTTTTACATTTGTTGGAAAATAAGAGAATGGAGATTTCTGTCTTTGATTAAATATTTTCCTGTTAGGGTTTGTAGGTTGTTTCCCATCAGGCTTATTCACTTACTGTAGTTCAGATGTGGGCTTACCTTAAAGGGGAGGGGGCTTCCTGGCACATGGAGACTAGGGGCTTGTGAAATCTCAGTTGAAGCTGTGTGTTTATAGCTCTTGTGAGTTAGCAAGTGGAGTGAAGCTGTAAACACTGTGTTATCTTGGGGTACTCTAATAACTGGTGAAAATCACTGGTCAATTTTGCTGCCTCCTAGCCATCATATGTGAGCTACTAGAGTTAAGAAGGCATATTTAGCCCCTGGGAGGCTCTTACTGAGTGAGCTTCCTAAATCTTACAACCAGTTGTATGGTAGTGCAAATGGGTTGGTGGATTTGTACCAATCAGCTGGCATATGGTCTTCACTGGGGGTTTGGGACATTGCTTGGAACACAGTAGGGATGCCTGATGCATTTCTCATCAGCTTGACGTGTTCTTCATCGACATCAGTACCTGATAAGTGAAGCATTGCTTCTCAGACTTCATTGACACATTGTCTGTTGCCTGTTGTCTCATAAATCTCCCTATAAAGCTCTAAGTAAACACCCCTGGGTGGAATCAACAGATCATTTTTGTGGCATTTCTTGTCATCTAAGCAATAATTCATTAAAAATTTAATGACTCTTTTGCTCTGGAGAGGAAGAAGAGAGCTGGCGCCTGCCTTTAAAGTTTCTGTCTTGTATTGTTGGTGACTTTTGTTTTGTTTTGGAGGTTTTTTTTTATTTTATTTTGGAGGAAGTCAAGTTGATAAACTGAAAGAAAACCATCTTATTACAAAAAGCTTGAGTGCTTCTGAGAACATTTAAAACAAGCATGACTAGAAATGACCTTTCCATCCTGGAGCGAACTTTGAGTGTATTCTCCCTTTGGCATTTCTAATGATAGACTTTCCATCTGGTCTTTGCTTAAAAGCTAAGATGCAACTTCGGGTTTGGTGAGATTTTTTTTCACATTAAAACTGTATAGTCTAAAATTAATCCTCTTGATCATATCACTTCAGGGATAGGAGTGCAGAAACACTAGGAATATTTTCTTATTTTCAGTAACTCCATTCAGTCCTCCTGGCAGCAGATTCCTTTTGTCCCAAATCAAGTAGTTTCTAATCTGGGGGAACCCTGGATTTCCCTCTGCTTGAATTTGGGGAGGTTGTGCCCCTTAGAGGAGATTTTAAGAGATTGAAGTGATGCTAGTGGCCATGGTGGTGTGTGTGAGATCTGAATCAGTAGGAGGGATCTGTGGTTACATTAGCTACCTCTGGTAATACTGTCATTTCTAGTGTTGCACATTCTCTGGTCCCAGTTTCCCATACTGATTCCCCAAAGCTGAATGTGCAAGAGTGAAATCCTGGTAAATGAATGCTTCGGGGAAGAATTGGGGACCTCCTGGGAGGTACCACTGCAACCATTAGCCTCATTTCAGCAGAGTATTTGGGAAAAGTACATAAACTGATCCTTTTGCTTAGCAAAGCATTTCAACAAATGCCTAATTTGATACATGCTTTCCGAAGGCCCGTGGGATGTAGTATTTAAGCATGCACTTGAACTTAAGCGTGTAACTGAGTCTGGGCTACACGCAAGCATGTGTATGCACGTGGAGAACATTTCTCGGGATCACGTGTAGGAACATCAGTCACCAGATTTTTTTTAAATACTTTTTTTTCCTCCCTGTAATGCTGATCGCTACTGAATGTGTATTCTCTTCCTTTTCCTCCTTCATCCTTGTATTCAGTGAAGTTATACAAAAATATGTAGGTGGAAGATTACTGGTGAGCCATTCCTCAAATGTTGTTATGGTGGGAACAGCAGAAAGTAAATCTATTAGTAAAGTCATGTTTCTGTCTGAACTCCATATGGGGCATGCGCAGAAAACATGTTTTCCTGACATCGAGAAGGCTCTGCAGAAGAGCAGATGTTGTTTGGGGCTCTTGGCCGGTAGATGATCTGCTGAGGGTATCGGTATTTTTGCTACAGGTTCTTCTGGTGACCAGCTCTATTAAAACAATGGGAGGGAGAAAGGATGTTGCCAGTAATGGAAGAGAACAATTCTGGCACACATAGCTTCCTCTTCATAAAGCTGCTTTTCCCTTGAGGCAATATATCTTGCATCTTATGGGAAGGAAATCTTACAGCATAAAAGGAAGTCTGAACTGCTTAGCAATGAATTTAGAAGTCTAGAAGTTGGATTCCTTTTATGAAGAAATAATATAGGTCCCATTCCAGTATATTAGGGAAGCTTTTCTAAGATGTGTCTCCAAAAATAGGAGAACTATTG